GACAGCTGATTTCTCATATGTTATCAGACAATGATTAACACTTGAAGCTTCACCGATCTTGATTGTGGGAGGAGATTTAGATGCAAGTCATTCTACTTATGATTGTTTTCCTTTACTAATGGTGGGGCCATATCTTGGAGCAGTACATAGCAATCATTGCATATCCTTATCTACAATGGAGGCTGGTTTGTAGCTTTTTCAGCTGCATGCAGAAGCGTTTGTTAATCGTTTTGAAATCATCTGTGAATAATTAAGGTTCTATTGACCAGTCAGAATACAATGTGATGTCAAGCGCGCATATACCTACACTAAGGATCCAAATCACGGGTAGAAACGACACATAGATATCAGAATATAATTTTGTGCGAGACTTGGTGGCACAAAAGGAGGGGAACATGAATACTACTATCATGACCAGGTTGCGGATCATTCACAAAGTTATACCAAGAGATAACGCAATAGAGCATGTCGAGTCTCGTAGGCTTACGATTGTGTGAATGTTACTATAACTTTGAGATTTTTTCCTCCCAAAATTGTTCCATTTGTCCTTATCAATATTAAATAACATATTTCAATGCTCAATTTTAGATTATATGCATACTAGCGCATACATATTTTGTGAAAATAGACTAATCTGAAAGAGCGTCCAGCTAAAGATTTAGGCCGCAAGCATCGCTCCATTACTTCGTAGGAATGAAGATCGAACGATTTGTAAGCTTTATCTTAGTGATAATAGAGGAGCCAGCTTACAAATGTTTACAACGGCCCTATAAAAGTAGACATAAAATAATGTCATAGTGAAGTGACCAAACAGTGATAAATGATCACTTTATCTGTCTACATTGCCTATTAAGCGTTCTGATGAATAAAAATATGTAAAGTGACTCAAGTTAACATTAGGTATTCTGAACTAAAATCTGTACACATTTACAAGAAAGAGACATGCACTCCATGGGAAAGATGAATGCTTGTATAGCATTGATTTTCATACCACATGTGGCAAAACCATTTACCAAAGGGATATCAAGTCAAATCTCAACTTTAACATTGTGTTAGATACCCTGAGTTTTTTTATGAATAAAACTCATAGCACATACCCTTATTACTCTATTAGTTTCTTGAAACCTCTCATTAATGATTGCTATCTTAGAGTGTTACCAAGGCAATTAAGATATCAATCTTCTGAATTCTTTCTAAAAGCAAGTTAAATGAAGTGCAAGAATCGAGAAAAGAGGAGATTACGATTCTTTGAATTATTACATTATATACACGTTCAATTCATTGGTCCACCAATTATGTTTTACTTTTATGTAACAGATTAGAACATAATTAATGATACAACGATATTTTTTTTTGTCTAATGAATTGTTTGATAAATTGATAAGTAATCTGGGTATTGCATACACATACAACCTGTTTCACACAATTCGAGAAGTTATCCTCCTACATATATGACTACCGTGTCTCTCGAAGTATGCATGTGCTCACAGACTTTCACTAAAATATGAACCTTAAAGGAAACACCGAGAGAGAAGTCCCATCATGTGTGAGTGGGAGATATTGTCAATTACAACCCATGATAGGGGTGTAGAATGAAACTGCCAAAGCAGTTTTCTCACGAACCGTTCCCCATATAAAGTGAAGGTTTTTTCTTTTACGAAATGGTTACTGCGTAAAACGTCCCAAAGCGCAAAGGAAAAGGACGCTTTCTCTCTCTAGAATTTGGAGAAACCAAATACGACTTTTGTAGTTTTTTCTTCCAGGATCTTTGTTTGCTTCGAGATAAGGAAGGAGTTATTTAGTGCTGTGTTAATTCATTTAGTTCTTTATTACAAATGTGATGCAATGGTGCATATGATCTTGGGATAAGTTACGATACTGGTTATTCTTTATTCCAACACAGTGTGAAGAGTCAGTTTTTTTTCCCTTTTGAAATCAAATACAATCAGTCAAGCAGGTCGTACATTATACTAGCTAATTTTGGATTATTTTATTTCTATTTAATTTAAAGTAATTCTCTATCTCATGTGTGTAGTCCGAAATACGTGAAACGTCAACACGCACCAATGGGTCGCTTTGTTTTATGTCATTATCACTTTCTTGACAAAGTATGAATAGGAATATGTCCTTTTTAGTATTTAAAAAAAACTCTAATGTATGAGATGCAAAACAATATGTATTATGTAATTACTATATTACTATACAAATATTAAATCAAATTAAATAATAACTCAAATATAAAATTATCGCAGATGTCTTCATGCAAGTCATTTTGTAGGATTGACTTATAGACCGTACCGTCATGCTATTCTATTGGTCCTGAGAAACGATCTATACAACAGAATGGATGTGTCACAACCGTTGAATGTGGCCTTCCGTCCTGTGCATAGTTGGAAAACATTGGGTTGAAATGTTTTCCAATCTCTGCGGTAAAACGCCCACCTTGGGTTGTCCTCGAAACCTTTGGTTTACCACCACCTTAAATACGATCTCAATGATATAACAGTAACCCAAATGTGGGCGCTGGTGCGACCAGTTTGTAAGGGATTTTATTAACTTTTCAGGGTTGTCTGAAGAATTCTAAAGTCAACAATATTTTGAAGTTACCGTATGTATAGTTTATACGTTTTCAACCTGTACAACAATTTGATAATTCATTGTTTTCAGGTTTAGAACATGAACCAGTGAAAAATCTTTCATGGAATCCATATTTATTTACAACGAGATCATGGCAGTGAGATAATGTGGGATTGCACCAGCTACAGAATGCAATGTTATTTTTTTTTTTTTTTTTGTTTTTTGCTGTGGGATCACACACGTTCTTACCATCTTTAGGCGACGGGGAGACGGAAGGTATCCCCCTTAACATATTTTCGGATCCTCTTGCCTCTTTTACCTTCCTCGCGGTCCTATCCTATCACTTTTGCCTCGGCAAGGTTTCGTCTCGATAACCTTGCCGTACACTGAAACTTATTCACTGAGATATCTAATAAACGTATGGCATCTTAATGTCCTTGGTGGGCGCCTTTGCTTTTGGGCACATTGGTGGCCCTGATGATGATTCACTACTCACTTGATAAGTTTTCAGTTAGGCATATAGGTTGACTGGGTTTGCAAGTCGCCGCCGCTTGTCATCTTTATGAATCTTGGATTTCAAACTTATTTTCATCCATACGTGAACCTTTGCCTTTGATGTAGCTGAATAATCAAAGTTCAGAGAGAGTTCAGGCTCTAAGGTCATTAGTCGAGTGAAACCAGTCATAATACTTTGGCAAAGCCATGGTAATGTACATTACCCGAACAAAAACGGTTTTTATCTTTACGGAAACTGTGCTTGTCTGGATGATCTCGAGCGAGTGTTGCTCGTGAAGGCTTATCAGCGCTTTGATCACTTGAAGCCTCATCTCGAGAACTGGCTAGGCCACCCTTCATCCGCTTATGTTCCTTCGTCGAGTGTCGACGATTATCTTCCTGAGTGTGTTTTCAGAATCACTGAATTTGAGCTTAGCTTTATGTATGATACACTCTTCACCAAGGCGCCTATTAACTATTTCAGGAGAGTTTTTTTGGGTCGCATCCTTTGCATCGGTTGTCTAGCTTTTGGTTTAAGTGAGTTCTCGATCATGTGCTCAAAAGCCAATGGGAATCTCTTAACTCATATTGTACCCATAACCTGTGAATCATGGACGTGCGTAATTTTATTTTTAGATACCTTGATTACCTTTGTGTTGCTTGTTGGAGCTATTGCGCTTGAAATTTACGAAATGAAGCTGCTTTTATGCTCGGATTGGGCTATAATTCACAGTATGCTACCAAATAAGGATAAATTTATGAGCCGATTTCTGAAAATTGTTGCTCCAAGGAATCCAAGTAAGAAGCCTAGGTGGTCCGATCGTATGTATCAATTGAATTTACTAAGCTATTGTCTCGAAAAAAAGATGACGCTTGGTAGATTGATTAATCATGGTCTCAAGGGCGTTGCTCACTATAAGGATCACAAGAAGTATCGTGCTAGGCAATGTATTCACATCCCTGTAAAGTTGAAGATGTTGATTCTAGAATATATGAAAGAGGTGAAGAAGAAGGGAGATCAGCCTTTTTACAAAACTGGGGAATGGAAACTAAAAGTATGTAATTGTCTGAATGAACTCAGACCGAGTTTTCAAAAGGTTTCAAGTTCCGTAGCTTCGGGTTCCGCAGATATTGGCCCACAAGCCGACACGCAAACAATTTCAAGTTCCAAAGCTTCAGGTTCCCCAGATATTGGCCCGCAAGCCCACGAGCAGACAAGTTTCGGCAAGGCCATTATTATATGGCACATCGCAACAGATATGTGCTTTTATTTAGATGATTGTCAGCAAGATCATCACAACCAAGATGTGTGCTTCTTTTTAGATGATGGGCAGCAAGTATGAATCTTCAAGCCCGGCGCAAACTAACCAAATTTTTATCGGATTATATGATGTATCTTCTGGCTATGCGCCCTGATATGCTATCTGTTGCCACTGGAGACATTCTCTTTCGCGGTGCTTATGCGCAAATGAAGAAATTTTTGGACCCGGAAATAAAAAATAAAGCCAGGTTGTGCAGGGATTTAAAAGAAGTAAGTGTGGACGAAATTTTTCGCCGAGGAGTTCCAAAGAACAATATGCTTAAATCAGATTGGAATGTACTGTCTGAAGTGAAAAAATTGGTTGAAGAATTGGAACGGAGAGATGCTGCAGAATTGGGAGGGAGAGATGCCAAATGGAAAATAATAAGTAATGTTTGGGTGGAAATGTTGTGTTATGGTGCTTGTAACTGTCCTTGGATGTTCCATGTAGAGCGGCTTAGGCAAGGTGGAGAATTGATCACTCATATTTGGCTTCTGCTTCAGCACGAGAAAGATACAATAAAGAAAAAGTGATTGTTCATTTTGTTTGAATTACTATTTGTTGTTGAGAGTGTTGTACTTTTTCATAATTAAGTGCTTTAGCACATGAAATGTAATAATGTTGAGAAACTTNAATGGACTTTTATGACGTATTCAAGGATGGATCAATTCTTTTTATGAGAACAACGAGAGAGGTAGAATGGGATGCAGTGGAGATCCAAACTCTATTGATATTGAGTTTTGGAGCGCAAGTCATTTGTACCTTCTTTGGCAATCGTAGAAAGTACCGCCTAAGATCCTTGAGCCGATTGGTTCTTTGGTTATCCTACTTAACGGCAAGTCCTATGGTAACATTGCTCCTTGGCAAGCTTTCTGGAATAGCTGTCACGGCTTATGATGTGCAAGGATCTTATGAGCTACTGCCCAACGACATATATGGAGAATATGGGTACCTAGTAAATTCGTGGGCACCGTTGCTTTTGGTGCAAATTTGTAGCCCAAACATAATTTCCTACTCGGTTGAAGATAATAAGCTAACGTTGAGGCAAGCTTTTGGACTAACCAGCCAAATAGCCATAGCACTTTGGATCTTTTATCAATCACTATTTGTAGAGGATGCACCCTACACCACAGCCCTATCTTTGTATGTAGCTGGAATAATCAAAGTTGGTGAGAGACTCCGAGCTCTCTGGTCATTAAGTAATAGTGAAAACGTGGTGATAACTAGTTTTGCAAATAGTGATATTCGAAAAGTGGAAAACACAATTAATCCTAGCTCTTGTTCCAATAATATCGTAAGTGGAATTTATTCTCATGATTTGTCTTTGCTTGTGAAGGCTTATCAACGCTTTGATAGATTGAAGCCTTATCTTGAGAATTGGCTAGGCCAATCTCCATCAATTTATCTTCCTTCAATGAGTGTAGACGACTATCTGCCTGAGGATGTTTTTAGAATCACAGAATTTGAACTTAGCTTTATGTATGATGTGCTCTACACCAAGGCACTCATTAACTATTCTAAGATAAGTTTTTGTGGTCGCATCATTTTCATACTTATTCTAAGCTTTGCTTTGTATACGTTACGGCATGACGAAGTAGATAGCATCATTACCATTGTGTCGTTAGCGGGAGCTATTGTGCTTGACCTTTATTTGATCATGGAACTTTTGTTCTCGGATTGGGCGATACTTCATCTGATGAAACAAAATAGGGGTGCATTGACCAGAAGATTGTTCATAATTGTTGCTCCCAAGATTCCAATTAAGAGGCATAGGTGGTCACATTGCATGGATCAATTCAACTTACTAAGTTATTGTCTCCATGAAGAGCCTACAAAGCTTGGTAGGTTGATTAGGAGAATTCTCAAGATCAAGGGCTACTACAAGGAGTACAAGAAGTCTTGTGTTAAGAAAGATATTCAAGTCCCTGAAGAGTTGAAGAAATTGTTACTACAACAAATGGAAGAGGTAAGAGCACAAAGAGGCTGGCAATCTTTCTCCAAAATGGGGGAATGGGCGCTTGAAAGATGTAATTGTCTCCCAGATTTCGAATGGAGTATTCAAACAGATTTTGGCACCCAAGCTAACAAGCAAACCAATTTTGGCAAAGCCATTATCATATGGCACATTGCTACAAATCTTTGCTACTCTTTAGATGATGGTCAACCACAAGGTAGCAGAACTCACTCGCAATGTGAAATGAGTAAAGTTTTATCAAATTATATGATGTATCTTTTGGCCATGCACCATGATATGTTATCTATTGTCACCGGTGACATTCTCTTTCAAGGTGTTTGTGCTCAAATAGGTGAATTTTTGAAGATAAAACAGTCAAAGGATGAAGCCACATTATGCAGGATTTTAGTAGAAGAACTTGTGGATGAAAATTATTTCCAAGGAATTCCCAAAAACAATGTGTTAACATCAGACTGGAATGTGCTCTTTCAGGTTCAAAAGTTGGTTGGAAAACTGCGAGAGAGAGAAGATAGATGGAGAATAATAAGTAGTGTTTGGGTGGAAATGTTGTTTTGTGGGGCTAGTAATTGTCCTTGGACTCTCCATGCAGAGCAACTTAGACGAGGTGGAGAATTGCTCACTCATGTTTGGCTTCTGCTTAAGCATGAGAAAGATAAATCCGATATTCTTTCTCGTGAATTGCATTCTGTGGCTTAAGAGTGTTGTATTATGTGTATGGTGATTGATTGTATAAAGAGTGTTGTTTTCACAACATTTTATGTATGTATATGGTTGAATAAAGTCATTCAGTTTTCATATAACTCGAAAGATTTAACTATAGTTTCTACTCAAAATAATCCTTTTTTTTTTTTTTTTTTTTGTCGAACTGGAAACAATTTGCCACAGCTACAATAATCTACCATAAATGTTTTGATTACATCATGTATACAGGTTTAAAATATTATGTAATCAACAGCTCCATTCCATTTGAATTATACGGATTTTTCAATTAACCGGAGAATCAAACCAATTCGTTTGGTTCTAGCTTCTTGCTAACCAACCCGATCGGTTTGGGTTGAGTTTGTCGGGTCCAATATTCAGATATTGTGGCGACTCCTAATTATATGCATGGACAGTATTTTAACTATTATGTATTAAGAAAGGAATAATTAAAAATGATATTAAGCGTTAGATATAGTTGGTATTAGAATTTAATCTTTTTTTTTTTTTTTGTATGACCACCTTTTGCCGTTGAAACAACTTGACCCAAACTCCTTTATCATCGCCCTCCATTAGGCTATAAGAGATGGTTAATCTGTTTTGTTTTTTTCAACTTTACTCTCCTGTTTTCTTGCTCGTCTGTTTTTAACTTTATAATGTCCCACTATCATTTGTCTCTTTTTTTTTTTTTTTTTTTTTCTAAATCTTTTTTCCACTTTAACTTTATATGAACTTTAACTTTTCCAAAAGCTATCTCGATACGTGTGTACAAGAATCGATTCTTGTATTATGATGCCAAGAATCGGATTTAACAACACGATTATCAAAAATCTGTTTTCTGTTAATCTCGTCGGATTCTTACACTACGCTAACGCTGCGATGAAATGACACACCCTGATGCAGATTTCTAACATTTCCATCACAGACAATTGCATGTCAATCCTTTTTCTGGACTCATCAGTTCATGCACATGCTTTATTCTAAGCTCAGAAACTTCATATCTTTTGTTTCAAAGGTATGTATCTAATGAAAGTGATGAAAAAATACACTTCAAATGAAAATTTTGAAATACGGGGAGGCGGGGGCACTCGGAGGATGTCAATTTTAATGAATTATTATATTAAATCTTAATCTTAATTATTATTATGTTCACTTTCCTATAAATAATGGATATGCTTTAATTATTGTGTCCAGGCAAATCAGAATTGTTCAATTTTTTGTGGGCATTTCTATAAAGTTTCAAGCTTATCCAATGATTTTAAATTTTGGGTTATGACCCATCTCTATCACTTTTTTAAAAAATAAAATAAAATAAAATAATGCAATGATTTTACATTGAATATCATTAATGTTGGATTATTTTGTGTTAAGGTAACTGGTAACCACGGATAAAAATTTTGATTGCTTTGATACACTTTATTTATAAACAATAAAAAAGAAATACAATTTTTTATTATATTGATATGATCAATTTTTTTTCCCATTAATATTCTTAACATTTGTCATAAAGACACATGTAGATAATTCATTAATATTATATATCCCAAATTAATTTTTATTTCAATTTTCACGTCTCAAATTGTATTGATTTGTAATTGTAATGTGAATTACGTTATTATATAATAAAGAATGTGTACTTATACATCAATTTCACATTATTTGATATACAAATGTTATTGACGAACTCCAAAATCTAGATATGATATATATTCTCACTTCCATAAAATTTAAGTCGCCTTTTTTAAAGAAAAAATAAACGAAATATGAAGTTCATGATGTGCAAGGATTGACATGCAATTGTTTGTGATGGAAGCATAGGTGGTCACATTCCATGGAGAGACGTTGAATGGGTTACCCGTTTGAGTTTTGGGCTTAGAAGCCTTATTTAAGCCCAGACTTAGGTGGACAGCCCAGCTATCCATTATTTCAGTTTGAAGAGAGGTTGGAATCACAGCAATAACCTTGGCATGTGGCGCGATAATATGTAAGAGAGACCCGTGAGTTTGAATGGGTTACTCGTTTGAGTTTTGGGCTTACAAGGCTTATTTAAGCCCAGACTTAGGTGGACGGCCCAAAAAAGCTTACAATGTCCTGGTTGGTTTTGACTATGGCCTAGACAATTATAACAAGAAATATTGTCATGATTCCCAGTGCACTTAAAATGGGTAACCACACTCTAACGTAAGTTAAAACTCCAATTCTCTGCCCAACAAGTGGTATCAGAGTGTGTCCTGATAAGTTGCTTCAATTGATCCTTACCCATTTTGATTGTTTTTATGTGCATCTAAGTGGTCTGGTAGTTAGACGAAATATGATATGTGTTGCGTTTTCATTTTAGATCTGTGTGTGCACTTACATTCGTTGTGTTAGCATATGTTTGATTGTTTTTTCATCATGAGTTTCTTTACTAAATGAGGATCTGCTCATAGACCACCTCTGTTAAAATAACCTAACTATTATACATGGAGACATAGGAAGCGTGCTTTTCTTAAGTCTATAGATAAAAGAGTCTGGTCTATGGTTGTGAATGGATGGACAGCCTCGGTTATTGTTGAAAATAAAGTATCTAAACCAAAACCTGTTGCTAGTTGGACTGCTGATGAGATAACTTTTGCAAATTATAACTCTAAAGCTCTTCATGCTCTTTTTAATGCTGTGAGTGTGAATGTAATATTCTGTCTACTTAGTAGTTCTTTGGAAAAAATATAAGTAAAACTCACTAACATGTTATAGAAAATATATTTATGCATATAAGAATGTAATAGTGGGCCCAAAATAAATTTAACTTTATATACAAATCTCTACATCAAGTAATAAAGTCACAAAAAATACAAAGTAGTCTCGGACAGTGGTGCCATTCTCCTCCGCTACTTGACGTCTCTCCCGACTGTATCTCATCTATTACCTGCAAAAAATAGTGAAATCAACAGAGTGAGCACTAATTGCTCAGTAAGTAAACCCACAATACTTCTATTCTTTTTTCGTTACTCAGATCCTAGATTATCTTTCCTTACACCAAACTTCTCAATTCTTCTCAGCTTTTTCTAAGATTCTAGTTTCTCACTTACGGATATGTAAGCCCAAATAGAAAAACAAACACGAGATAGTAGAAATGGCTGGCATGATGCAGATGCACAAATGCATAAACTTTTTCTATGCAATGCATTTTCTTTTTTGTTTTCTTATTTTATATTCTTTCTTGCTTTTTTATGCTTTCTCTCTTTTCTTTTCTTTTCTTTTCTATTCTTTCTTTTCTTTCTTTGCCGATCAGACTCGGTTAAGGCATGGATTCAAAACCTTGGCCGTGTGAGTGTATTCTCAAATTCTTTCTTGGGTACAGTCCTCATCCACATGCACTTTTTACGGACTGTACAAATTCTTCTTTCTTATTCTTAGGCCGCTCACTAAAGGCGGCGTGCATATGAGGATATTCTTCTTCTCTGTCACTCATGGGTTCCCCATCGCAACAACCTTCTCTTCCCTTATCTTTTTATATTTCTTTAAGTAAAATTTCAGATTTGAGGTATTCTTTAATTATGTTCTTTAGATAATGATTATACAATTAACTTCTTTTCTTTCCTTCTCTTTATTATTTAATGTTCTCATACATGTATATGTGCATGTAAATATGCTCATTCTTTGCTATTCTTTCTAAATGCAAATGTTCAAATATAAGAATGCATTATGGCATATAAAAATATTACTATGGAACTAGTATTCTCTACCAACAACGTTTCCATAACAAAGTAATAATCTAACATACTCATATATATGCACTCTCTTTGAAATTTTATCAAACACCTTACATGCACATACAAACCCTAAATTGTTTACACTTCCACATATTTCTCAAGCCACCAAAATTGGAGTAAAAACTCCCTAAGGCCAACAACCACCCTACCCGAATTTCACCTTCCACCCTTCCAAATCCATTCTTTCATATTTCATCAACTCAACACATACAAATACATCACTTCTCATGGCCATAAGATTCACAAATCAAACAACCTCAATTTCAATCCATAATTCTCATCATACAAACACACATACAACATATACAAAATTTCTCTACACAAGTATTTATTCAATCAAAGCTAAAGTTGGATTTACTTATCTTGAATTTGAGCAATTCCAACACTATAATCTCTCTTTGGTAGAATTCCCCTTCCTCTTAACCCTAAGCATATAAAACCATAAGAATTCAAAACTTTAAAATTTAATCTCACATCTTGGTACAAGAATCTTACCTTGAATGCTTAGGATTGAAAATCTATCAAAATCTAACTAAAATCCTATGAATTTCCTTAGAAATTTAGTGAAGAAATTTGAGAGAATTTGGGGTGAAGGTGCCGTGAAAAAGGGGTGGAGTGGCCCGGGTTTCAACTCTTGAACTCTTATTACTACATAATAATATATATAGTTTCCCATTTTACCCTTGCACTTTCTAAAAATTTCATCTTGTCCCTTAGTCAATTACAAGAATGCCCTCATTTTTATTAACTTTTCCATGGTATTCTACCTCTTTTCATTCCCCACTCTTTCATCTAATTATGAGTGGAATGACCATTTTACCCTTAATGACATTTTAAAGAATTTCTTTAACACTTGTCCAAGATAATTCTAACAAGATTCAACTAAGGGTATTAGGGCATAAATAAAGTTACGTACCTTGATGTGGGCATTACAATTCCTCCCCCCTCCTCCTCCTCCCTCCCATAAGAATTTCGTCCACGAAATTCAAACAAACAATTCGGGATAGCAGTTCCGCATATCTTGTTCTACTTTCCATGTAGCTTTTTCTACTTTATGATTCCTCCATAGAACTTTTACTAATGGAATACTCTTGTTTCAGAGCTCCTTAACCTTTTTATCCAATATTTGCACTAGGTGCTCCTCATAAACAAGATTCTCTTCTAAGTCCACTTCTTCTACTTTTAATATATGGGAAGGATCACTAACATACCTTCGAAGCATGGAGACATGGAACACATTATGCACTCTATCCATAATTGGTG